ATCCAGACTAACATTTCTAAAAAGTACTAGGCTGATTTACACTAATTTTACAAATTGATCGTAAACACCGAATTTTACAGGGAAACAAAATGTTGTTGGGCTAAAAACCTTATATTTGGGTTAAGTTTAGAACAAGGTTTATGAAGAATAGTATTATTAGCAAAATTGCACAAGGAAATTTTTTTATTAGAACTCTAAAGATGGTTTACTAGCTAAATTTTGTGGAAATTTTTTATGTTACATCTGATCCTGATTTTTAATTGGCTAATAGCCCGAAATGGTCTACGGACACGTACCAATTCACGTGATTGTGCACGTACGTACCTATTATAAATCAACCTATCACGTGCTAATATACTAACCCTAAAGTTCGGTACGTGCAATTGGTACGTATGTGTCCGTAGACGGTCCCCTAATCGACGTCGGAAAATCATGTGACAGTAAATCGATCGTACGCCCTTGCATTGTTATAAACACGTTAACACAAACGTTTGCAGAAAAATTTTTTCTTTTATTTTGGATAATGAATAATACAAATTGAGATATATAACCTTTTTAATTAAAATATCGACTGTAATCATATTAATAAACCATATTATATTATTATGATTTAATGCTTAAAGGTAAAATTTATCATTTTTTCTAAATAACATAATGAAAATATTTAAAAACTATTTTGATAATTTACATATACGCATTAACTATATTGTGACATATTTGATATAGTCTTAATTATCTTATGTAAATAAAAAATTTATTCATATAGTCTTAATTATCTTATGTAAATAAAAAATTATTCATATTCAGATTTGCGGATTATTATTCACGAATATCTTTAAAAGTTAACCGAAACTTTGAGGTAGATTTTGTCGTAAATTTGTCAATGAAAGGTTAAAATTTTAAAACTTCAGATAGTAATCCTAGACCGAACTTGACTTGCAAAAGTAATAAATGTACTTTTTTCGGCAGGTGTAAAACTTTTCCACATTATATCTGTAGATTGTCTTATTACAAATCCATCAGTTATATTTACTAAACGTCCTTCTTCATTGATACTCGCTTTAAGTAAATTGTAAGCAGTCAGAAATTTTCTTTTATTTGCTCTCAGTAAAATTTGAGTGAGCAAATTTTTATCAAAATTATTCACATTTAAAATCCTTTGTAAGACCACTGGATTTTGAAGGTGAGCAACAAAATCTTGTACTCGATTTATGTTATTCATAAGAAAAGTGAAAGAGAGTGACCAGTATATATTTATATCTGGATTTAAAATGAATTAAAACGGTTTTAATCATTTAAAAGGTTAGTTAATAGCTATTTTCTTGTGCTAATGAGTATAACAAAATGGATCATGCATTTTAGTAATTTTAGTTTAATAGTTTTTATGTAAGGCTTCGCGATTATGTAAACTGACACTTTTAACAGAAGTTTCTAAAGTGGCAATTGATGTTGTGGAATGAATAATGCACAAAACTTTTGGTAATGAGAAATTCAAGATATGAATTTCACATTCAGAGGCATGAAATATCATTTATTGTCAGTATCACATTCGTGGTGTCAAACTGTGCTGTTCACTCAGAGAAAAACAACTCAGACAGATTTATAAAAACAGCTCAGACAGTATCATAAAATAGAACTTTCAAGAGTGGTGCATATTATGCGCGCGCAATTCTGAATAAATGCTAGCCCAGACTAATTTGGTCTATGAATTTGATAGATCTTCTTTCTACTCTTTATTATAATTAACTTTATAACGTTACATTATTTATAATTCTTTTCTTGTTGGCATCTTGCGACACTAGTCAGTCATCTCATAATGTCATCGAACGTAACTGATTATGATGCCAACGTACGTACCTGGTTATGATGTCATCGTACGTACCTGGTTTTACTAACTTTCTAATCAAAGATCCTTAGCAAGATAGTCGATATCTCTGGTTCTACTGGTGCGGTGGTTCTTAGTACTAAATATGGCGTGCTTTATTCGTGGTATACAAAAGAAATAGTTAAGGAACGTGAATTTTATTTATTTAGATTAAGCCTGATATGTGTATGAAGAAAAACAAGAAAACGTGTTTTTAAATTTTCTTTTGTCCAAAAAAAATTGATGTTAAATTTTCATGCATGATTTGCTTTTTTTTTTCCTTTTTTCATTTTTATAATCTCTAACGCTAAGCTGTAACAACTCTTAATTCCGACCCCTAATGTCACACGTTACCTATACGTATAATTAATCATTTCGATCGTACTAGACTTTTCAAGAGTAATTGTATAAAGTAAAATAGACATGGCAACAATTGAAATAAAATCTCGCAATTTTACTGCGAACCAATAGCATAAAATTACATTGCGTGTTTGTTTTATAAATCAATATGTATAAATTAATCTTTTTGAAATGGAATAGTATAATTCTAAAGTAAAAAGTATACAGCCAAATCTTTCTAACGGCAATTTAAATACTGAAAATTATTTCTTCGAATTTTTAAAGATGATTGACTCATCTTTTATTGTTATTGTGAATCATGGTATTAGCGGATTTACGGGATCTAGAAAGATCAACAATAATTAACTCAATTAATGAGGAGTCTTGTTAGATATAATTGTTATAATTTATACAAGAAAAACACATTTGAATATCTTTATTATTAGTCATTTTAATATCTTTATCAATAGTCATTTGAACATCTTTATCATTAAGTCATTTGAATATCTTTATCATTAGTCATTTGAATATCTTTATTATTAGTCATTTGAATAACTTTATGATTAGTCTTTATTATTAGTAATTATGTATAGACAACCTCTAAATCGAATCCGGGTAAACCGAGCACAAAACTTTAAAACATTTATAAAGTTTATTAAAGTTTATTAATAGGTTAAAGCACAATAAACTTTTAAACCAAACATTTCAAAAAAATTTTACATGCAAGCCAGAGGGATCGGTTTTAGCATAGTTTAGGCAACTTGAAATTAAAACCTCGTTTAACGTTATCCCCCCCTCCACTTACAGGTCTCCCCCCAAAAATTAAACAATTAAT